AGATGATCCCAGCGCCTAGTGCAGTTCTTTAGGGAAGCATGTTTCTAACCACAAGTGGTCCCTGGAGAAATTCCAGTAGCTGATGATAATTAACATCTTCCACTCCAGTGGCTTCGCATGCTCACAGCTGTTGAGAGGGGTGGTAGCGAGGCCGTACGGGTGAGCTTCAAAGGGCTACCAGAAAAGTGATTATAAAAATACGTTTGTAAAGCTATTGTTGATTGCTGAACTAGGGACTTTCAACGTTTCCACAGGAGCATATGTTACTTTCCTTAGCTTCATAGAGAATTGCTGTTGAAGCGGTCTGTTTTGAAACATAAAAACTAGGTTTTCACCTTTTGCTACTGAGGCAAAATGCATTAAAAGGATAAAGGTCAAAAGGACACAGGCGCGAGTGCTGACTCCCCTCTGGGATTAGCTCAACATAAAAGGTGCACTTTCAGTACTGCACAGGCAGCTTTAGTTGTGAAACTCCCCTGTACACTAATAGAATCCACGTGGCTGAAACACCATATACCGAAAGTAATGATTTGTAAAAATAGCTTTTCATTACAGTTGAAAGTTGGAAAATGATGTGTTAATATAGTTCCATTAGCTGAGTGTTACTGCCAAAATGAGCAAGTCGGTGACAGCTCTTAGTTTCTCCTGCGCTTCAATCTGGTATTTTAATATCATTAAATGTTACTTCTCCGGGATCCTCCTCTTCATACTCTCTCCGCACTAGGTTGGTTTTCAATAGCACAAAGCTTGAAAGGTAGAATTCAGCAGATCAGTCAAAATACTACCATTTAAATCACAGCCTGTTTTAACCTTGACAAATTGATTTAGCAATGATCATACCTATGCATGTATGTATGCTATTGGCGTCATAGCAGGTATTTCAAATATATTCTAATGCTAAAAGATTTTTAGCAGTGTAGTATTTTCTGTAACTCATATCCCTAATAAAACTCATGCTCCTGCGCGCATAAGCATATACTCTCTTCTTTTTTTTCTTTTAGTTAACTAAGCTTATATTTACTGAAGCAGCTGAACAAGAGCCCTTTGAACAAAACTATCAGAAAGATGTTAGAAAGATTGACGAGGGTGTGTTCTCGCCAAACACTTATGGTTCTCTTTCAGTGGTTTACTGACCTCTGTTGGTGAAATTAAAGTATATGTTCCAAAAATAACGATGATGCATAAATTGGGAAGAGAGATTTTAAAACACTGCTGACTGATATTTTTAAATACAGAGAAGTATGGCTAATACTTAAATATCCCACAACGTTTGAAAGGCTACCATTACAAAAAGAAGGAAAAAAAAAAGAAAAAAAAGAAAAGCTACTCCAAATATGAAAATAGCTTTTCAATAAAAATGGGAGAGGGCAGTATGAATTCAAAAGGTTGTCAACTCTGCATCTGAAGTTACAGAGGTAACCTGCTTAGTGAGCCCCCAGCCACTTACATGACTCTTGGCATGTGCATTTACGAGCATATTAGCCCTCATTCTTCCACTTCATTTCAGTCACGATGAGAAGCACTTGTCTTCTGGCACACAGATGGGCAATAATTCTCAGCGGTGTCACTAGATAACAGAACATTGTGGCCCTATCAGCTTATTGTTAGTGGATTTTTTTCTACCAACAGCAGTGATCCTACTGTTGGTAGCAGAAGTCAAGATGGTGGCATTTTAATTTCATTGCAATACATAGTTTTTCTGATAGTGTACTGAAGTTTGCTATGCTTATAAATTTGCAATTGCTTAGTTTCATGGTTATCTGTGATTTAAAAATTTAATATGTTTTTGCCTAAGGGGTTCCTTCAGGTAGCTCATATACCAGAGACATATTAAGCTTTGGTTGTATTGCAGAACTGCTTAACAAAGTGATAAGGAGGCCACAAACCCATGCAACTAAAAATAAATTTAAATCTGTATTTAGACAGGATTCCTAGCCAACTAATTTCAGAGAATGTTTGTCTCAAAACTGGTGGATTCATATGGATCAATAAAAAATGTGAGCATAGAGACACACCAGTCTTTTTTTTTTTCTGAAGAGAAGTTACACTAGCGAACCCCAGAACTGGGGTCTGACTCAAGGCAAAAGGAGGAGCAGTAACATAAATCCATGAAATTCCCGCAGAGATTTTCTCAGCTCGCTATCTCACTCCTTCTGCTCCAATAAGTTTGGAAGGTATTCAGTCTTTTGTGTCCTTTGCTGCTCATAATCTTACTATTATTTGTAATATGGCCTGGAGCACTCAAGTTTTAAAAAATGTTACGTGGTTTCCAAATATCTGTTAAAATTTGCATATTTATGTCTCAGATGCTAGGGTTTCCTTTTCTTTAAAAGCACCATGAAGGAAATTACTTGCCTATGGAAGCATTATGCTTACCTAACAATATAAATTCAGTACAGGTCTCAGATTAGCTGTGTGTAAGCTCTAATTAATATGGTCTTAGTAAGAATGTTATCTATTATAGCTAATACTCTGCTAATGGACTACACAAACCATTATGTAAAAAGCTGCTTATACTCGTCCAGTAAGAGAATTAGTGAGATGCATACTTTAACTGGCACTCTCTCAGGTAAGTCTGTGTTAAACCTTGAAATTACAATTAAGTCACAGGCAACAGAGCATCTTGTGGATCAATATGCTTCTTTGTTTACTATTAATGACTCAGCAGTCACTTTAACTCTCCAATCAGGAGTAATGAAAGATTACAGAAAATTATACTGCAAACTGAAGGGTATTTTGCTCCATTCTGTGCAGAATTCTGAAAAAAATGTTCTATCTTTTTGTGAATCATAGAGTAATAGCTAGTTGGAATATTTTTTTTGTATATATGTTCTACCGAAAAAAAAATGCTGTTTTGTGGAAATAAAAAAGTTTTGCTTGCAACACCTGTTTTGGTAATTATGAATGGTCTGGTTTCAGGATTGAAGTTTGTCTCTCCACTTTTCTTCTTCCCTTGTTTTAGGACAGGAAAACATAACATCAAATATCAGTCTATTCTAGTTAAAATATATAAATATGTTAACAAGCATATGCTATAAAAGGTTGGAGTGGGGATCCCCCAGATGGTTTTATTTTTGCCAAAAGTTTCCAAACCTAACAGTGTCATGAAACGGAACAGTCTCTTTCAAGACCATCCTATGAGAAGATGTCCATTAATCGGCAGGAACCATTCCCGTGTTCAGTCTCCATGCAAGGTTTTTTTTGTAATAGCAAAAGCCTTATATTATACAGATTTACATCAGCATAGAGAAGCACAACAAACCTCAGCTTTCTAGAGGTAACTTGTCTATTGTCCAAGCAGAGGTAAATAGATAAATGTATCCACAGGAAGGCGGATTAAGTTGTGGTAAGGAAGAGCTTTATATCTGGAACGATAGCTGAACACCAGCGTAAACTGACTGTGGAGTACATCAAATCACCATTTTTAGAAACAAGCATTTTTCATAAATCATCTAAAAAGTACAACTGATTTTAAAATACTTTGGATTTCATCAGCCTAATGCTCATGAGTTAACAAAAAGAGGTTTCAGTCTGCTTGCTGAACCAATATAAAATTTATTGGCAGTGCCCCTTTTGCTACTGGCAAAACACTTTTTAATGCAGATTTGACCTAATCAATAGAAGTAGTGACAGACTTTCTCATGATGGTGAGGCTATGGGGCTACCGACCTTTTCTCCAAGCCACCATCAGCTAAACCGATCCTCCCTCACACCATCCCTTCCTTTCCCTGGTGCACTGATACTCAAATCAATAAACTGATCTCTCTGATAACGACCCAGCGTAAGTGAGGGAATATGCACAACCGCTTGGGGCTGGGGGAAGAGAGATGTTGCTGCTGAAGAAAGGATATGAGTAATAACAAACTTCATTTTCTCTACTCTGTACGATCAAGCAGACCCCTTAGTTTCTAACTTATAACTTCTGCAACAAATTCCAAGGAAAGCTGACAAATCCTGCTGTTTTTAACCTTGGATGTAAATTATTTTAGGCGGCTCTTTTTCAAATCAGGTGCTGAGCACTTGCTTGAAAGGTACAGAGTACCTCAGGTCCTGATGAAGTGGAAGAATTCGGATCACTCGGAATCTTACAAAGATCAGAACTTAATTCATGAATAT